CCCCCCCCCTTAAGGAGAAGAAAACTCGATTGGATTTAATATATTTCCGTGGGGTCGGAAGAAGCTCCCGCCTGCTGGATCTGGTTTAGACGCCCGACAGACAAGGTAAATTAAATGGAGACGGCTCGGGGAGCAGCAGCGGCAGCGACAACAGAAAAAAATCCTTCCTCTGCTGAAGGGGGTGGGGAAAAAGGAAGGAGTTCACGCTTCATTTTGATATCCTGTTTTTGGCCTTTATTTTTCGGTGTTTTCCGCCTTGCATAGTTTAGCCGTCTTTTGTGTTTCTCCTCCTCTCGCCGAAATGCTGTTTGTGTGGAGGTAGTCGCTGGTTTCATGGAGGCTGAGGAAAGAGTCTGGGGAGACCGAAAGTTTCTAAGCTGCTCAGACACAGAAGTTTCTTTGTTCGGTCGGAGAAGGTATTGAACTGAAACTGCCCGACTCCGTGGCTCTGCTGCTTCAGCTCCTTCCCTTCCAAAACGATTGCTGACCCTGCGAGTATAATTAACTTCTCGGGAAAATCAGAAAGTCCTAAAGGAGGTAGTATCTTTTACTTAATCAAAAGATCTTGAGGCTCGGCGCTGCCTGTGTCTGCCGTTTCTTGTTTGTCTTTCACCTTGTTTGCTGGAATGTCCGTTAGCGCCTGGCCGGTCTTTTTCAAGATAGCTGTTAGATTTCTGTATAAAAACGCGCCCTTGTAGTCCCCTGTAAATGCTGTCGCAGTTTTTGCCTTCGACTGCTGCCGCCACCTCTCTTCCTCCCCTCCGCCCCCTCTCCCCCCTCCAGATGACGAGTTGGTCTGCCTGTTTTTCAGCTTGTATAGGAGAGGTCTGTATTCCATTTTGATCCTTGCACAAGTTTATCGTAAGAACGTCCATTTAAGTAGCCGTGTTCAGTTTTGGTGACCACTTTCTCCTCTGTCATTTTTTGAAAGGAATCCCGTTTGAAGCTGTTGGAGGGGAAACTAAACGCGAAGTTTTGGTGTAAGGTTTTGTACTGCTGGTGATTGTTAAGTTACACCAACTAACTAGTTGCATGGAGTGAAAGCAATAGTGCTCAGCACAGACTAATTTCACATGCCTCCAAGAGGCAATTATTGGTTTGTTCTGTCGTGCGGGCAAGGAATTTCTTGTATTGTGAATGTTCAAAATGAGCTAGAAGCCATAGCTCTGTGCTAGCTTATTAAATTTTTGTTCCTGCTTGTCAAACTTGAAAGCGGCGTGTTGGTCAGGTAGGATGTGTGTGCTTCAGTCTCTCAAGTGTCTGAGATGTGTTATTTGTGAGGCTTGGACAAAGTAATTTCCATGCAAAATTTTTAACACTTCTACATGTGTAGCTCTTTAACAGCAAAAAGTAATGTAGTGTTTGAGGAGAAAGTTATTAATCCAACTCCATCTGTTTGATATACTGCGAGGGGGAAAAATGTTACCATTTAACTGACCTGAAGCAGCTTGTATGGCTGATAACAAGTAAATGATTTGGCTTGCAATTTATAGACTTACCTTTCCAGGCAGCAGTAAGGGTTATTCTTAGGCGTCAGAAAGGGCTGAACAAAATAAATGGCAGTGAACTTTGGTTTCCTTATATGGCTGATGCTTGGCAGAAAAGCAATAAAGTCTAAATAGAGTAATCCTTTTACAAAGAACGATCACTTTCCAAAGCAGTGTTTCAGTCCCCATAATGACTTGAGGTTCTTGGGGGGTGGGGTGGGGAATTGTAGCAATGCATGACAAATTTCGTTGTAAACCAGTGTGTTCATAATGGATGCAATTTTGTTTCTTTTCAGGCCTTTTGTGTTTCTCATGATGCACTCGATATTTTTCAATGCTGTGTAGAAGAATAGATCCTTGTAGTGGAGACACAACTTTTTACGCTAGTGTTTTGTCACCATGGTAGCTATGGATAAGGCCCTTTTTAATGATGAAAGTGTAATTCAGTACTGCTTACAGCTAATGGCTATATCATAGAATGCCATTCATGTCATTAATGTAGTTTAGGAGTTATGAAGGAGTGTATTCTTTCTTGAGATCAACCATTTCAACTAAAAATTAGTCTGACATTGATACTCGTATTATGAATAAAATGATTTAAGTATACACATCGTAGCTCATGTTGCTTGAAACAACACTTTCATACGTATGTGTTGATGGCTGGGAGAAACATTCTTTTGAGCTGACTGTTCCTTCCTCATGAATTAAATTAAGCTCAATTAAACATTGGTAATTTTAAGTAGGTATGCTTAAAATCAAAGAGCTGGAGGTTAGAGCATATGGCATGCTATGGAATATGATTAGGATGATTATGATATTCGTAAAAATATAAATAGATTTGTCTTATGAATAAGCTGCCCAGTAGATAATGTTTGGTATAAATGTAGTGCTCTATAGGGTATCCGTTTGCACATCATATTCATGTAGAATTGATGAGGGGGCTCCACGGAGAAAGTAGCATTGATTGAAAGTTGCATAGTGTATTAAGCTGGTGGTGTAAGAAAACAGTGTTATGATTTGTCCTCGGTGGAATTCGTTCAGAGTCTGTAGTCCCAGGCATAAAGAGCCATGCTTGGAACATCAAAGCTAAGGAGAGACTTGCACATATGTAACTTGCATTACACGTAGCATGTTAGCAGTAGGTTCTAGAAATAGAAGAGGATGGGAGCAAATTCCTCAACTCAGCTTTCCTGTAGGGGTGTAATGAATCACTGGCTGTCCGCTTTGTTTTCTTGTTTTGTTTTTGTCCTTCCTGCTCCCAAGCAAAGAGGAAAATCTTCTAGGGAAAATGTTACGTAAAGATCAAATGGTTGATATGTCATCTCTTCAGCAGATTCTCCCTATGGAATAACCTGATCTGCCAAAGGAGGGTCTGACATTTACTCCACGTAGAGGAATTACAAATCTAACTTTTTCCGAATGAGTAACTAGTTGAGTTGGCAGAAAAGCTACTCATATGGATATGAAAATAGTAGACTGTATTCCTATGTGAGCATACAAATATTGTGGTGACAGTTGATATAGGCAGTTAAATGTGGATTATCTGGAAAGTGAAGATTTGGAAACATCACTATTTTACCTTGTCAACTTCTGAGTAAGTAAACCAGTATGTCAGAAAACACTTCACAGCAGAATGAAAACACTGAAGGTAACATGTTTATCAGTTTGAGAAGTAAATAGTCCGTAGATAACTTCCCCGCACACCATTTAGAAAGTGCAGTGTTTGCAGTAACCTGTTACTTTGCTAGCTTAGTGTCTTTGGAACATCTGTGAATTCCACTGCACTCTTGTGAGGTATAGGTTACATCTTCTACAACTTCTAAAAGTTTAACTGATTTTGAGAGTTTTGCTTAATGCTTTGAATGCATAAGGAGTATCTTTTTGTTAGTGTTGTGGGTAACTTGTGAACAGGCCTGTGGCTACTTGCATGGCAGATTCTGGTCTTCTGGACAAGAAGTGCTTTTTTTGGTGGGGTGGGGGCTTGCTTGCCAAAGCTTCAAACTTGGATTTCCCACAGTCCTTATAGTGCTCTTCGTCTCTTGAGGAGCAGCTGCAGTGTGCCACTGCAGGTCCCAACTGGGAAGGTGGCATGCAGAGCCCACTGTGTCAGCACAGCTGCCACGCTGTCTCCTCCTGAGTAATTGTCAGTAAAAATTAGTGGGCCTAAATAACACTGCCTAGTGTGCTCCAGTAACAATTAATTGTTAAGCAATTCTATTGAGTTTAAGATTGTAAGGGAACAGGTGATATATAGAGAAACTTGACTGCTCTATTGACAAGATGGGTATGGGTTTTTTTGAAGGATTTTTTTTGTTGTAAAAAGATTACTTTATTGAAATACAGCCTTCATTTCTAATTAAGAGTTCATGTATTGTGAGTAAAACCTTATAAATGTTAAGATCTGAAAGTAAGGATGCTGGTTTAGGAGAGATTTATGAATCTCATCTTCTGCATAACAAAAATGGAAGAAGTGCATATTGCTATGCTGGAATTGGTAGTAGTTTTATTATATAGTAATCTTGGGATGATTCTGCTTTTTCTGCTGTTCTCCGTCATTAATTACCAGTTCTTTTTATGATACTTATTTTTCTGATGCTGGAATTTCAATACGGGTATTTGGCTAGTTACTCTGTTTAATTTCACCTGTACTTCCCCTGAAGGTAATACAGAAGCATGATGTTTCAACACCAAATTGCACCTTCCACCTTTAAAAATACATCATGCCTTTGCATAATTGAGAAATAAAGCTAAACAAACCTCTTCATTTGGTCTAAATGAAACCAAACTGAGGTGTACTTACGTTGGAGAACATCAGCACTGTGACTAGCTTCCCTAGGGTAGTTTAAGTTGAAAAGTAGATTAGTTCTCTCTGTATCTGGAACTAATTTGTAGATACTTGATACTAAGCGATCATTATACACAGGAACAAAAAGCGATGTTTAAGCAGAGTCTGAGAACAGTGTGAACAATCTTGGCTGCTGTGGCTGTCCTGGAAGTTGTAATAATGTCAGAAGGTAACCAAGTCTTTGGAGCTTCTTGCGTTTGAAGTCTCAATCTTGTTAGATAAGACAGTGTGTATTCTCTTTCCTTCTTCATCCACTTCAGTAGATAATGAACAGAATGGCCGTATTCTTCTATCCTTTTTTTTGGCATGGCCAAGAAAACGTTGGGTAATGAGTCTTTGTACACAACTTGGATTAAGGAGGGCGGGGGAATGCTTTGTGCCTTCCTCTGTTCTGTATCCGTCCAATGATTAGGCACAGGCTAAATCCGAAAGATTACTTACAGTAGTAAGGACAACTTAGAGCAAAGCTACCAGAAAGAAGGTGAGTGATTCCAAAATGGACAACTTCTTTCATAGTTTCTCAATTTTTAAATATCCAATATTATATTCTCTTGCATCTTTTGTAAATAGAACTACGTTTTTTCAAACTTTTGTTTCATGCTTTTGTATAATTGAATTCTGCAAGCATAAGGCTATATTATGCATGCAAAGTAAAACAACTGCCAAAAGCAAACATTCTTTAAGATTCCCTTATTTAGATGCACATTTTGAGAATAATAACTGGAAGAAACTGTAGGTCAGTGATCAGTTTGGAATTCACGGGATATGCGAGC